TCTCCACGGTCACATCATTTGAACTAGCATTGTCAACTGTGACAGTGAAAATCTTTTGCAAACGCCATTCACGCAAATAATCAATAATACACCTTGACATATCTTCACCTTTATGACTAGTAATTGGAGAAAAGTTAATAATTCTTTTATGCATAATCCATTCACTATCAATCCAATGGGTTGTGATGCACATATTGTTAATTTTTTGAATAGAAGCCCATGTATCAGTGGTAAGACTTACTCTTTGACTTGTTCCTTTAAGAAACTTCAGTAATTTATTGTTTTCCACATTAAAAAGAGCAAAACAATCCCGTGTAATAGTAGTACGGGAAGGAATATGAAAACAAGGTTGTGCCATTTTCATAAAGTTTCTAAAGCCTTCCTTCTCAACAAAACTAAATGGAAGTTCATCAACAATCACCATACGACACAAAGCCATCCTACACTCTTCTTGATCAAATTTCTATGGAATAAGACCACCTTTATTACCCCCCGATAATGTTTGAAATTGTAATAGTTTTTGACCTTTTTCAACTTTATAAGGATTCTTTGGACATTTATCGATATGATTATTCATTTGTGTCGTACTTTTGCCTTTTGTCTCAAAATATTCTTGTCCACAAAATCTACATGCATATTTATTATTTCCTGTAGCATCAATCTTTTCTTCAAAAACATCCCATGCCCGAGATCGTTTTTTCCTTTGTTTTGTAACTGTCGAGTGAGTAGTTGCAGTCGTAGACTCGGAACCTCTACTTTCATCAGCCACTTTATCAGTATTACCATTTTCAGCCATGTGAAGTGAATGAAGAATGTAACTTACAGTCTTAAACGAGTTGAATGAACCAAAGCAAGACGAAGTCAGCAGTCCTCGCTCTTGAATCTACATATCAAAATAAAATACAAACCTTGTTTTACATGGTTGCCACAAGTAGGTTTTCACCATTTGCATACAAGAAGCAATTGAAACTTAGCTGTACATCATCACACTAATAAGGTGGAAAATGATACCAATAAAAAAGAGTTGCTCAAAAGAGAAATATGGCGTAAAGTGTAAGGTCCAGAAAGTGTTAAAACTCATATCCATTTATTTTGTCACTTTGTTAATTATTTAGTTTGATTCATGTAGTGCTTTATGTGTTAATTGGATCACGAACTTTTCCATTTTAAAGCAATGGAAAATGTTTTTCCATTTTCCATCATCAAGAACTTTTCCATCATCAACCTGTTTTATATCAAAGCAGCTTCAAGATTTCAACTTCTCGTGACTTCATCTTGGTTTCAAAAAAGTAAAATGTTTTTTTTCTTTTCCAATTACCTGCTGTTTAAAAATGAAAATCCTTTTCGGAAATCCTTAAAAGCAATTCTGTTGAGAATCACTGTTAGTGCGTACACTTATATAAAATTAAGCATTTGTTCAAGCATCACGTTCATAGCTTCTATAAAATTTAGTAATTTAGTAAAAACAGAAAAAATATTACTGCGAGAAACCCATTTGGAGATAGAGAATTACCAGATCTGTGGGAGAAACCGAGAAAGGAGGAATTTTGATTGAAGAAAATTTGAGGCTTCGGCTCTAAAGGGGCATAAGCAGAACAGTTCTTGAGCAGAGCTTGACTCTTGAGGAACTTCATATTCTGAACTGAAGCAGAAGTGGCTCGCCGACGCCTGAACTAAACGGATGAACCGATGAAGTCGTGACTCGTGAAGAGGAAATAATAGGGTAGGAGAAAATCTTGAGGAACTTCAGATTAAGAAGGCAGAAGCGGCACATGAAAATGGAAACATAAGTTAGGGTAAAGGAAGGGTTATTACTTATTTATATAGAATAAGGGTATAGTTGTCTTTTTAGTTTATCTTATCAGTTTATCGATAAACCGATAACCGAAGTGGACAAAATCAAAATCGAAATCGATAACTCGATAAGAAAATTTTCGAAATCAAAATCGATAAACCGATAAACCGATATCGATAAACCGATAACAAATAATCGATTCGATTTGTCGATAAACTGATTCGAATGCACACCCCTAGTCTGAATAGATCTTGATGATCAAGATCTATAACATAGTATTATTAAGATGTTATACATTGAAAAATTTATGTAAAAAATGACATTTCACCATAACTCTTACACTTTCACCACTAACCACCACCATTGTTATCGCAGTTCTCCACCATTATAGATTCCTCCACCACAAGCTACCACCCATTATTACCAATCCTCAACAACAACTACTATTACTGTCAAGCACGAATGTCAGTTGTCACCACCATTAGCCGTCATTTACAACCATCATCACCAATCACTATTACCATAACAACCATTGATAACCACTATCAGCCACCACTATATGTTACCCATCGCAGTTATCAATCACTACCACCATCAATCATCACCATTAACTACTATTATCATCCACCATTTTGTCACGACCCTAAACCCGGACCCGGTCGTAATGGAGCCTCTCGTGAAGACAAGGCCAGTCGATACTTCCCATTTCAATTTTAAGCAGTTAAATAATAAGATTCAAGTCTAAAGCATGATAAAATAACCCAAGGTTTAAGCAGTCAACAGTACAAATATGCGGAAGAACAACCCAAGACAGCCCGATACCGGAGTGTCACTAGTCATGAGCATCTAAACAATCCGGGATACTCAGAGAAAACTACAGAGTTTAATACAGTAACTAAAAATATGGAGAAATAAGATAGTGAGAAGCTCCGGGCTGCAAACGCCGACAGCTACCTAGAGACTCCTCGGATCCGCCTGAGCTGGGAAGATCAGCACTCGGGAGTGGGACTAGATGCGCCTGAATCTGTACACGGGGTGCAGGGAGTAAAGTGAGTACTCCAACTCAGTAAGTAATAACCATAAATAAAGACTGGAAGCAGGAAATCACGTGAAACACATTTGCAGACTATAATGAAACAGTAAAAGATATGTGGAAGTCATTTAGCGCAATTAAACTTCATGAAAACCTTTTTGAACATTTAAATAGGTAAAGGACAAACAATTAAGAAAATAAACACAAAGGTTCGCCCCTCGGGCACAGTATCAACAAATCCGTCCCTCGGGCAATATCTTAAAACAATACCAGCTCCTCGGGCTATATCTCACATCACAATGGGTACCCTCACTCATTGGGGGTGTGCAGACTCCTGGAGGGGCCCCTTACGGCCCAAGCATAATATCAAGCCATCTCGTGGCATCATCACTAGGCTCTCGGCCTCATATCAATCAAGTCATCTCGTGGCGTAGATACCTCAGGCCCTCGGCTTCATAATCAATGTCAAATATTTCCTCACAACATAGACCCTCGGTCTTACTCAGTCAAAATCCTCACAAGCCACTCGGGCAATAGTAAAACATGATTCTAAGCCCAAAATATCATTTAAAAGATCATTTAAGTGTTAAAACAGAGTAAACATGACTGAGTACGAAAATAGTGAAATATAACATGACTGAATTCAAGTATAAAGTCAAAAAAGTGAGGAAATATCAATAAAAGTCCCATAAGGGTTCAAATAGTTGGCATGAAGCCCAAATATGGCATTCAACCCAAATAATGATGATAGCAAGTAGATTTCAGTCAAATACGCGGTAAAATAGTCATTCGGGACGGACTAAATCACAATCCCCAACAGTGCACGACCCCACACTCGTCATCTAGCGTGTGCGTCACTTCAATATAGCACAACGATGTGCAATCCGGGGTTTCATACCCTCAGAACATCATTTACAATCATTACTCACCTCAATTCGGTCAAATCTCTAGCTCGCAACGCCTTTGTCCCTCGAATAGGCATCCACTCGCGTCGAATCTATCCAAAATCAGAACGAGAATGTCAAAATATGTTAAAAGAACGAAGCCCAAACAAAAATAATCAATTTACAACATAAATTCCGAAATTACCAAAACCTGACCCTCGGTCCCACGTCTCGGAATTCGATAATTTTTATATCAATAGATTTCTTATCTCCCCACGAGTCCATACATACCAAGAACACTGAAATCAGAGTCCAAATAACCTCTTAAATTCTCATTTTAAAGTCTCTTAATCTCAAACCCTAATTCCCTAATTTTTGGCTTAGATTCCATAATTTATTAGGTAGATTTCACAATATAATTGAGTTTTAAGTCCAAAATTCTTACCTCCAAGTGATTCCCCTTGAATCCCTCTTCAATCCCCTTCAAAATCCTCCAAAAACGACCAACAATGGAAGAAATAAACCCCAAATTTGCGGACAAGACGACTATTTAAACCTTCTACCCAGGCCTGAAATTCTTCTTCGCGAACGCGGTCAAAGTGTCGCATTCGCGAACCAGAAAAATACCTTGACCAAAATTCCTCTTTCGCGATCGCGACCTCCCCATCGCGAACGCAATGTTTTACTCAGACAGACCTTCGCGATCGCGTTCCCCCTATCGCGAACGCGATGAATTAAATTCCCCTGAAGCTCAGCTGCACATTCCTTCTACGCGAACGCGACAACACCCCTGTGAACACGATGCACAGATGCCCAGCCCTTCGCGAACGTGGAGCCTTCCTCGCGAACGCGAAGGCTAAATTTCTAGCTTCTCAACTGACCCTTCGCGAATGCTATGATCCTCTCTCGAACGCGAAGGTCATTTTTCTGCAACACTGATCTGCAATTTTCTGCAGGTCCAAACTTCATGGAATGGCCCGATTGACCACCCGAAACTCACCCGAGGCCCCCGGGACCTCAACCAAAGGCACTAACATATCCCAAAACTTTATTCAAACTTGTATCAATCTTCAAAACACCTCAAACAACATCAAATCAACCAAAACACATCAGATTCAAGCCTAAGTTTCCAAAATCTTCCGAATTCCGCTTTTGATAAAAACAACAACCAAACCACGTTCGATTGACCTGAAATTTTGCACACACATCCCAAATGACACAACGGAACTACTGCAACTCTCAGAATTCCATTCCGACTCCTATATCAAAATCTCACCTACCAACCGAAAATCCCAAAAATCCACTTCCGTCAGTTCAAACCTAAATCTACTCCGGACCTCCAAAACTCATTCCGATCACGCTCCTAAGTCCCAAATCACCTCCCGAAGCTAACCGAACCATCGGAACTCACATCCGAGCCTCTAACACATAAGTCAACATCCGATTGACTTTTCCAACTTAACCTTCCTCGAAAGAGACGAAGTGTCTCAAACCTTACCAATTCCTTTCCGAACCCTAACCAATCAACCCGATCACATATAGAACCATTCTACAAAGCAATAAGAAGCAGAAATGAGGGAAACAGAGCGGTAACTCATGAGACGACTGGCCGGGTCGTCACACATTTACTCTCCATAATTACTACCATCAACCAACACTGCCACCAGCTACTACCTAGTCAGCACTCACAATCACCACTTTTAGCCATCACCACCACCAACAACAACAACAATATAATTTTTAAAAATATTTTACTAATATACTATTAGATTACTTATTTTTATTTGATTGAATTTATATTTATTAATATTTAAATAAAGAAAAAATATATACATTCAGATGTAAAGAAAACAAGCAGTCTTAATTATTTAGTATTCAGATCTTAATATAATATCTTAATATTCAGATGTGAATTCAGATCCAAACATTTTAATCTTAATACACATATTAATATTCATATGCGTATTCAGATTCAGACGTCTTAATCTTAATAAAAACAAATGAGACCTAAGTAATCTCTGGTTGATGGCTTTATAATTATTACTAGGATCATTAATGATCGCCTAAGTTATCTCTAGTTGCTTATTTATTAATTATAATTAGGATCATTTTTAATAAAGTTGGGTATCTTGGTGAAATCATAGATCGCTTATGTTTCATCTCAAAATTGTCCATGTATTATTTTTGATCGCCTAAGTGATCTCCGATTAATCGCTTATTAGTTAGTACCATGATTGTTTTTCTATAAAATGGGAGATACTGGTGAAATCATATATCGCCTATGTGTTATCTAAAAATCACCCATGTATTATCTATGATTGCGTACGTGATCTCCGGTTGATCGCTTATTTGTTATTAACAGAATAGTTTTTTATAAAAATTATAGATCGCCTATGTGTTATCTAAAAATCGCTTATGTATTATTTTTGATCGTCTAAGTGATCTTAGGTTAATCGACTATTAATTATTACCAAGATTATTTTTTTATAAAGTGGAAGATCCTGATGAAATCATAGATCGCTTATGTGTTATCTAGAAACCGCCCATGTATTTAATTATGATCATCTAATTGATATCCCATTAATCGCTTATTAGTTATTATGAAGATCATTTTTATAGAATGAGAACTCCTCGTGAAATCATAGATCACCTATATGTTATCTACAAATTGCTCTTATATTATTTATGATCGCATACGTGATCTCTTATTGAAAAGATATGCAGATCTTACCCAAAAGACTGAGCAAATCAATTGCAGAATACTCCTGATGAGTGAAGAAGAAAAATGAAGGACATGATATTAGTCTGGGAGGCATTTTGTTTGGGTGAATTTTTTCTTTTAAAATGTTTTATTTTTCTATATTTGTATTATAGTCCTTAACCCAACTAAGATAAATTATTATTCTCACTCATGCCAACTAAGAAAATATGAAGAAAAAAAGCTAATTCAAAAAGGAAAATACCAGGTCATGAACTTCTATTTGTTTTGTATAAGTACTCTTTAATATTATTTCAATTTTCATCTCTTTTCCTGCCTATAACTATCCCATTATTAAAACTATAGCCACATTCTTCTCAAGTCTTACATATTTTCACATATTCATCTTTCCTTCACTTTTAACATAACATCAAAAACTGAGATTTCTGCAAACTTAAGATATATAATAAAATAACAGTATCTAATATTGCATTCTACACTTTGATATTAATCATTAATTTGCAAAAGGTTTATTCAAAAGTGTTGCATCATTCTCTTCTCTAGACTACACCGCGCGAAAATAGGTATGAATGAATGGCTTGTGATATAATTCATCTATGAAAGCACAGCAATTACATCAGATGCCCTTAGTGTTACGTAGTCGGCACCATCTGCACCTTTGAAGTCATTGCCTGCATATTTGGAATACAGAACTGTATTTCCCGGAGATACTGAAAGTGATTTCCTGTTCCCTTCCTCGTCGAGAAGACCTGGTCCAGCAGCGATTACCTGTTTCAACCACGGAAAAGGTAACAGATCTTAACAAGAGTTTAACTTCTTTACACTGACGTTTACCTAAAATAATAACTATGTGTAACCTTCAACAAGAAGTAAGATTAGTAAACAACTACAACATGTTAAAATAGTGTAAATTCTTTACAACGTTAAGAGTTTTGTTGGACTCACGTCATAGTTATACAGAGGAGATAATGCAGGGGTTATTTATACGGGAATTGATAATGAAGGGATTGTTATGCAGTGATAAATAGCGAGTAGATAATTATACTTGTATTACTAACTTTAAAATGGCATTTTTGTCTTTAAGCAGTTTAATCCCGCATTGATTATATATGTCTTCTTATTCCACATTCTATCCCACATAAAATAATTAATAGATCCCTGCATAAGTAAACTTGATACCGCCAACCAAATACTGCAGTAGTTATGCGGCTATTTTTCCTTATGCAGCCAACCAAATACAATATTATCTTATGCAAGACTTTGTGTTGGAATAAATTATTCCAATCCATCAACCAAACGACTTCTCAGTGTATAAAAGTAATATCCTTTCAACAAATGTTGGAGCATTGACCTTAAGAAAATATAATATCAGACCCAGAGAAATCAACGGTGGAAATAATATTATGAGTAATAATACTAGCTGAACTGCAGGGTGCATGTTTTTACCGAGCCAATTGAAGGTTTCTCCTTTGCAGCCTCGCTCAAAAACAATCCTCCGGCAGTTTTTTCCTCAACCTCAGCCACCTGATAAAATAAGTGATGAACACATTAGCACTACTCATCAAAAGACACTTCAGAATATGAAAATCTTGAAGCAAGTGCAATATCAAGAAGAGTAAGAGACAGGGAACCGACGCCAAACTTCCAAAAATGCAACTCTCATTTAGCATAAACTACTTCCGAAAAAAATTTATAAAATTTGAAATAGGAAAAAAGGTCATCATCTACAAAATATTAATCAAATTCCAGATGCTACACAAACAAGGAAATAAAGGCAACAATGACAAACCTTGATTAAAATTCTGTCATTCAAGGGCTGCAGATCCTTGATATCATCGGTCTCAAGAATACCAACAATGTCATCCTCTTTCAGGATCAGGTGCGTTGATCCATCAAACAGAACTTCAGTTCCCGCATATTTTGAGTACAGCACTTGGGTACCATTCTACACGTATATAAGATCCTTTTAGAGAAATAATTAACCACGCTAAAAATCCAAGTTGAGTATATCAATTACCTTCACACTAATTTCCACTTTAGTCTTCCCAATTGAACGACCCTCCCCAACAGCGACAATCTCACCTCCTTGTGGCTTTGATTGTGCTGATGTCGGAAGCAAGATACCACCTACACTCTTCTCCTCTGCAGTCTTTATCTTCACTAGAACTCTATCACCGAGAGGTTTAACTGAAGTGTACTGCACGAACAACAACAAGAGAATAAAGAAGCAGACAACTAAGAAAATTTTCCTGCTAGAACAGCACGGCAACCCTTAAATGCATTGTAATGACAAAGCTTGGCTTTAAAAATCCACTAAACACCAGAAACCTAATGCTTAATTAATTCATCTTTTGTTTCAAATACTTATTTGATATAAATCGCAAGCTTTTTTATTCGGGCAATGAAATATCATAATCACATATCTTTGATGACAAAAACAAAAACACCCAACGCAACAAAGCCCAATTACAAACTCGTTGCACAGTTTAACCAAGCACAAGAGAGAGCTACTTAATCACAAAATTGGAATAGCTAGCTTAAAATCAGTTCGTAGTTTACATTGCCCAATCCGATTTTGGCTGAAAATCAATAGGTCAGCAAGCTCTCCCCATAAGTTTTAACTGACTTTAAAGTTGCGCCAACTAAAAGAATGAAGAAGATAGCCAAACATTCATGTTGAGAGCAATAACGTGAATTAACATCATCGACTCACTAAAGTTTGACACCAGTGCCAGAACAACCTAAGGCTAAGAAGTGTCAATAACACTCCTTCGCCGGAAAATTACTGTGTCAAAAATTTATTTTATTGTATATATAGACTACATATTGGATCCCCTTGGATTGTCCATATCTTTGCTTCTTTATATTTTGACACCCCTTAGAAAAAAATTTGGCTCCTCCATTGTTTGACAATGTAGCATGTCAACCAATTCGGAGCAGGAAAAAGAACACATCAAAGCAATTCTTCCTAACTATTCAGCTATTATAGCAACATAGTTCGACGAAAAATAAAGGGCAGCCCGGTCCACTAAGCTCCCGCTATGCGTGGGATCCGAGGAAGGGACTGACCACAAGGGTCTATTTCTGCAAGAGGTTGTTTACACGGCTCGAACGAGGTCACATGGCAGCAACTTTACCAGTTACGCAACGAAAAATAAAGGAATAAAACAACAGCATCTGAGAAAAGAAAGCAAAATTATATACCTTAGGGGCTACAGTAGTTGCAGCCTTAACAACAAGACCACGAGACAACCTGATATTCTGCTTTAAAGGAGCAAAAGATGCAACCTTTACATTACTAGTTGACCTAAGCCCTTCAAAGGAAGCAAAACCTGTAGCAGAAATGGATGATGCAGTCAACTGAGTTGTCGCCATTGCTTTCTGAGCTAAATCAAGAAACCCCACAATAAAAAAATAGTCAATATCCTCAGCACCCAGAAGAAAAAAAAAGTACAAGTATAGATAAAAACTCAAGAATTCATAACTAAATCAAGAACCCCTTAATAGAATAAATCCCAGAAGCAAACAGAGAGTAAATCAAAAAATAAGCTCAAGAATTTCAGTTAATCGTAAAAAAGGAAGTACCTTTACTGGGAAAGAAGTATTATCTACTACAGACTGAGTGACTGAGGTGTGTGTTTTTAGACTGTTGAAGATAGAATTCGTAGAGCCTTTTGAGGATAACAAAACCCTAGGAGGTTCTAACAGAGGGATTTTTAGCCAGATATTTATTTTTTTTGTTGGGTT